AAATAAACGAAACAAAAAAAAAAAAAAAAAAAAAAAAAAAAAGAAATCCAGGATTGACATTTGATTCTGCTCTCTTTAAGGCCCGGGAGGAATTGCAAAACTGTGAGAAGGTAGCTGTTGTTTCACAAACAGATGTACTGCATCTTATTGTGCATCATTCATAATAAGCATTTAACATAAGCAAAACCAAACATAAGAAATAAACACTCAGGTTTATTCTTTTGAATTCAGATCTTTTTTTTGTTTTCCTCCCTCAAAAAACCCGACAGATTAAACTGAAGTTTAAATATAGCCTGACAAAACCTTGTTTCACATATATACAATCTTAGACTATAGTTAACACAAACTCAAAGAAAAAACATAGAACAGAATTCTAGTTAACGTCTAATAATATGTCACACCTACATCCACGCACACAAAATCATCGGTAATTTTTATAAAACAGTAACTACTGGAAATATTTTTAACTTCTCTCCATTATTCTACTCCATTAACTCTATTTTAAAAAAATAAATCATCTTTACAATTCATTTTTATCAACATCACCTAACATGAGCTAGCACTTGTAATAAAGTTTAGAAACCAGAAAATTATATAGGAGAAACAGATGTCTCCAACTGAAAAACTCAGTTCACTAACAAAGAATATAAATTACTGTATTTTATACCAATCAGTGGTATAGTCTGTTGAGTGCAAATAATCAATTCAAAGGGAAGACTTAGATAAATGTACTGGTTAACAAGCCTGCAGTTCAGAGAGTACAAGGTATTGAGTGCAGTTTAAAATCCTCAAATAAGGAAAAGAAAGGATGCAGGACGAAATAAAAAGGTATGTTTGATTTGGAACATTACATTTATGGCAAGAGCTATTCTCCATATTCAACAGACAAATTAATGGTAAGAAAAGTGCACAGGATTATTGATCAGTAGAATTAGACAAAAAAAAAAATCAATATTTCCATCATAAACTTGTATACACAAGTTAACCTAAGCAAACCAGGTAAAGCCAAGTTCTCACCTGCATGCGGAGCACGAAGAAGGTGGATATTCTGTTTGACTTCTTTGATGTCTTCTGCCTTCTGCAACTCTTTGCTCTTCTTTAATCTGGGGAGGGGGGAATGTAATTAAATGTAATTAAATGTAATTACCTTCAAAGAAGAGATGTATGGTTTTGTTTTAGTGCATGACACACACCTTTAGCTAAAGGTATGTAAACTGTAAATAACTATGATTATAAGGAAATGAAAGTAAGAAGTATTTGAAAACCAATTCAAGTATATACTGGATAGAAAATCACGAAAAAAGCCAACACTATATTCAGAAATTTGTTTAAATCTAAGATTCCATATTACAAACAAGGTAATATAACTATTATCATCGAGTGTTCAAAAGCTACATGTCATTGGACAGCCAATAAAGCCTAGTAGTTTGGTAGTGTAGTAGAGTAGAGATTGTGTATGTACAAAGCAAATAACCATTTAAACTTTTGTCATCCATCTCTCTGGAAAGACTAAGACAGATTTGAAAGAGCTCCCATAATACAAATACTTCTCCTCACCTGTTCATAATAAATCTAGCTTGGCGTTTTTGCTTTATTTCCTCCACTCTCTTCATTGCATCAACTGAAATAAAGCAGAAGTTGTTTTAAATATGCGTACGTACCTACAGTTGAAAATACATGCTATTTTGCAGAGAAATGCTACCAGTGTTTCATAATACCTCTGTATCAGAGGCAACTTTTACACCACATAGAGGAAGTTATTCCTTCTTCAAAGAGCACAGTAGATATTCTGTGTACAAACTATGATGAATTGTATTCTAAAATTTATTTATGCTTCCAACTTTTGTGCCTACACATATTTTCTACAATTAAGCATTACTAACAAAAGACTCTTACTCTACTTGAAATCAGATGGAAGATACCACCTTCTTCTTCGTGGCATTCATTCATGACATCAGTAACTTTCCATTTTATAGCAATTTATTAAACAAACTGAAGTTGAATGGGCAGGAACAAAGAAACAACTGCACCAGTACAAAAGGCTTACACTGGGAGCCTCTTAAAAAACTGGAGAACCACTAAGGTTTTTTGAAGCTAATTCAAAATAGAGGAATGCTGCACCTCATTTTCTAACCAGTTTCTGAAATAAAAGTAGAATCAAGTGAAACTCCACGCCCGTTCACAACTCAAATCTCCTCCACACATAAGAATGTGGTCATCATTCCAGAAATTTCAAACACAGTCACTACAAAATGTCAATATTCTAAGAAATCTTGTGAAAACACATTCATGTAGAGTCAAAGTTGACTCCCCATAGTTCATCTTTTGTTTTTTTCTAAAACGACTCACCGGTCTTGTTCCACAACTCTCTCTGGTATTTCACTGGTTCATTTCTACGTTTTTCAAACTCAAATGAATTATCCTATATTAAGAAAAAGTAAATATAGATTATATTCAGAAGTGTATTTAGATCAGTATATTCTTACTATAGCACTCATGTAACTTAATATTTCACAGGGTTTTTTCCCCTTTCCAAATCTTGGTTCCTATACTTTAACAACCTTTAGAGATCACTAAACTAGAAGGAAATAGAGTGTAGTGTTTGACCTCAAAGTGTCAGAAGCCACAGTGACTTGTCTGAAGAGAACTATTTACCAAAACATCTCCCTTGGCTATTTTCTTTTTAGCAAGACAAAAGGAACAGAGAAGACCAACGTGGAGTAGGAAATATAGATTAGACTAGACAGGTGGAAGGCAAAATTGAAAACATGTAGAGTCAAAAGCACGTAATGCAGGTCAAGTAAGTTCTACTCAACAGCCTGTAATTTTGAAAAGGCTCAAAAAGGAAACATTATCTCATTTTAAGAATATTGAAACAATATAAAATCATTTGAAACTGTGAAATGTTTCAATTGGTGACATTACGGTGTTTGGGGCAGCTGGGGATTTTTCTTCTTGTTTTTTTCCCCCAAGAGTTTAAGATAGAAAAACAGTTTCCTGAGTTTTTATTTTTCTTTGCTGGGCATACTTAGCTTTATACCAACTTTACCTGAGGAATTTTCCCTGCCCACAGGTTCTTTTTTTGTAGTGGTAAAGCAGAGTTATTAGACCAGCTGCTAACCTTCACTTGAGCTAAAGACAGCTCCAATGAAAGAAACTACACAGAATAGCAAGAAATGGTACACACACTCTCACAAGCCATGCAGATGAATGTTAGCTTTCACCATGGGATAGCATCAAGCAAGATACCCAAAATACAAGCTGTAGAGCGCTCCATATGCTAACATCTACAAACCATTCTTATTCTTAAAAAAAAATTAAAATTTACCTAAAATTCATTTTTAGCCAAGCATGGCACAGCACCACATCAATTCACTCCAGTTTATCCTAAACTGTGTCAGCTTTTATGTATTTAAAATATACGGCATTGTTTTGTATCATGAGAACACACCACAAACAGCAAAGTCGTCTTGTAAGAGTATAGATGTCCAAAGTGCCATGGTCTTCTAACCTACACGCACGGAGATAAACTACAGTTGCCTCATACTGGCCAATAGATCTTTTTGATTCAAAACACAAGGGGACAGAAAGACCAACTCCTCAGTCATTGTGAGTGAGAGAACAAGATGGTCCTTCAGAAATACCTTGTAAACAACTACCCGGCAAGATTATGTTCTTAATTTTTTTGTTGTTCAATTACAAAACCCAGGAAAACAAGTAAACATATTTAACTTCTATCCAACGTACCTATTTAAAGCAGCAACAACTGTCACCTTCTTACAAACTACAGTATTTCCCATCATCACAAGCCTATTTAGACACTCTCCCCGAAGCCAGCTTATGAAAGAATGGATACCAACCAAACTACAACAAAGCACGATGTTTATATATTGGTTTAATTCTCACCAAACATAGATATATCTCAAAATTGGAGCATATAGTCTCCTACTGAGACATGTATAAAGGAATTTTAAATTCAAATCTTAGGTTCTTTTCAACAAGGTAGTTCAGCTTAGCCAGAAACAACTTGAAAGCATGAAATACAATTACAGAAGATGCAAATTAATCATGGCTTGTCAGAGTCACATTAAAAAATAAAATCACATTCTTCCCCAAGGAAGATCTACAGAAGGCAGCAAATCACCGTGCCAAAATACTTACTAAATTCTTAGTATTGTATCAAAAAACAGGTAATTAAGTCACAGTAATTCTTGACTTATTCAAGGACTGTTCCACCAAATGTGAGTGTTTAGAATTTTTACCACTGAAATAACTTTGTCTTGAAATTGTTTTTAAGTATTTTAAGATCTCATATGCTGTTTTTGAAACATTCCCATTTATGCAAGGACTTTTCCTATACGTTGTACGCTTTAAGGAAACTTTGAAAGGTAAGTATCTTATGTGTCTACATAGAGATACTTCCTGGGGTGCTCAGTAACCCAAATTATCTGATTGTGCAGAAATACAACTACCAAACATATATGCAGAGAGAGTAGGAGATTTATAGATGGAAAAAAAAATGCCTTGGACTTGGGATCTGCCATGTATTACTGACATAGACGTCTGATACACTGGCTTCCACACTGAAGGCGGAACAGGACATTCCAAGTTATAATCAAGCTAAATGAATAGCTCTCTCTCAGGAAAACTGTCTCATCCTCTTGCACAATCCCTCTTTTCTCCACTTACTCCATCCCTCGTGCTAATCTAATTAAACGGTAACGCATTAAGCTAGCTAACCTAACCTGTTTGCAGCTGGAAGAGGCTAGATTTCTGCTATTTTAGTCAGCTAATATAAATCATGAACCAGTTCAACTTCTTACCACTGTCAATTCTTTGCCAGCTGCTTTCCGGAATGCTTTGGTCCATCTCATCTTTCTGGGATTTCGCTTCTTTTTAAAGTTTCTGTGGCATTTTGATTTACAGAATCTGAATATCTTGAAGGGAAAAAAAAAAAAAAAAAAAGAAAAAAGATTACAGTCAAATCATATTATTCCTGCCCCATTGCAAGCACGGTATCAACCACTGAAGTTTCTCTAACAATACCGTTCACTGAAAATGACGTTCATCTTTCAAATTTCAATACTTTTAGTTCAAATATAACCATTAACAAACAGAATTTCAAGCTCTGTTCTTGTTTTTTCATTATAAAGTAACTTTTACAGCTGTCAGGGACATGCACAAATACTTACAATTAAGCTCATTATGAATAAAATATACCAGAGTTGTGAGAATTACCATCTGCAAAAATAACTATAAAACCAAACCTGTACTGCGAATAAACACTTTCCTACACCTGTCAGCACTTTTTAGATACAGTGCCATCCTGATAGCAACAAAAAATCCTCACACCTCTCCTATAACATTTTCCAACGCAATATACATACACATACAAAAAAAAAGTCTATCTTCTGGAATGTAACTTTAGGCCTTAAAGATTACCCTGCAGCACATTCGTTAAGTCCTGGACTGAATTTACTGAAAGTTGTTAAAGCATAAGCCAAAACATTCTAACTGACCTTTTTTCTTCCCCCCCCCCCCGCTTCCATTTTTCTGCATATTCTACAGAATGATAGACTCATTTTAGGCACCTGCCACTGCTAGCCATGGAAGCATCTTATGTTCATCCAGGTGATGTTTTCAGGTCCATTAAAGACACACAAAAGAAATTTCACTATCCATACTTGAAATTTCCCTTTTATTAGTATTGAAATTACATAACTAACAACCAAGCTAAAGAATGACCCGCTATCCCAAACTGTCCCAAATCCAACAGAAGTTTTCCAGTCAAAAAGAGCATGCAGTGAGATAGCAGTAAGATAAGCAAGGGGGAAGGAGAGGAAGAGACATAATCATATCTCTATTTACAGTTCTTAATCTTCCCCAAATTTGTGCATCACTTTGAACTATCCTGGGCTGTCTGGTATCCAGAGCAGAGCTGAAACTTTATTTAGGAATACTCAAAATTACATTTATATCCATCAGTTTTTGAAAACCTCATTTTTCTTCAACCATACTCTCCTTCCTATCTAATAGTCTCTTCTAAAGAAAATGAATAGAAAACATGAAACCTCTAGTAAAGGTAATTACCTTCAAATAACGATTTTTTCTTTTTTTTTTTACTTTCTTCTGTCATGTTTTTTCACCTTAACTCTGGCAAATCTGCCATTATATTTTGCTCTTTCATACTTTATCTGTTCACAAATTGCCACTGTGCTACCTCTTTTTTTTTTTTTTTTAAACACACACCTTGTGGCCATTTTCTAGTAAATGGAACTGTGTCAGTCTACATCTACCTCTACATTCCCACAAGGTGTGACTCAGATGAACAATACAGTTGAGCCAGCATTTGTGTCGATGTGTGAGCATGGGAAGGAAACTATGTGCATAAACTTCATTTCACACTGGGGTCTCCAATGCCCTACAGGAGTGATAAGGAGTACAGCGCAGGCTAGGAAACTACACACGACATTTTATGTACAAAATTGTCATCACAATGTAAAGCCCAAAGTGCTACGTACATCCAGTTATGACAGCCTCAATGGGGTAAGTCACATCAGATATCGCAGTGGTTACAACTTTTAGTAAAGTAGCATGAGAGAGACATAAACTATTAGCTTTAGCATAGTCTCTGTAATCAAGATTGTTCAAAGCTTTAGGATCACTTGCTGTTAATGTGAAGCCTTCACTTCTCCAAAATCAGAAAATTAAAGGATGAAGATTTTGCATTGCTCTGCAAAGCACATAGTTTCTTAGTAAAAACTGAAATTACTGAACAAGTAATTCAGCCCACACTCTTCCTGACAGCCACAACAGTTGCCAAATTACAGTATCGCTCCACGTAACGGTTCCCACGTAGCAAACAAATCTGTGCGGCAATGACGCCACCCAGCACCGCCGCACGAACGCCAGCACGGCTGG